GTGGCTGCATTTGTTTACTCTTTTGTCTTGAGGTCTGGCCCACAGTGGGGGGTATCCTCTTTCAAAGTTGCAAAGTCACCTTGTTTTCCATGTTGTCCTTTAGAGCCTTGCCTTGTCTGACTGCCTTTAATGTTTCTATCTAATTTAGCTGCCTACAACATTTTGGCTTGGCAGAAAGTTTGTCTGAATTTTTGCTCATGTACAGACTTTGCCAGAGACCTATTAAGCATCACAGACTGATTAATCTTTCAAAAGAAATTTCAAAACAGCTAAATATTGAGGCAGTGGCATGGCTGTTGTTAGGGGCTTTTAGTCAGATTTATGTTTTGAATATAGAGCCCAGCAGGATGATTTAAAATGTGAGTTTGGCCAGAAAGAAAGGAAGCTCTGATAAAGCTGTGGAATGCAAAGATAGAGCTGAGAAGATCTCCACTGCCCAGAAGGAACGAGAAAATGGAAAGGATGGCCTGAGGGCATCATAGGAGGTGGCAGGTCTCCACCCTTTGCAGCCTCAGAATTACAAAGGTCAGGGACTTTGCCTTGAGGGGAAAGCGCTGGAGCCCAGTATTCCAGAAAGGTGGAGGCAGCCACACCACATTCCAGAATGGCCCTGGCATGATGAATTAATTCCTTATAATCAGGGTGGGAGTATTCAGTCATCCAGGCACTTGACCCCTATGGCCAAGAGAGAAGAAAGCCTGGGTACAGCTCCAACTGGCCGCTGACCTAGGCAGCGCCCGTGTAGTGTTGGATGCCACAGGTTAATGCAAGTGTTCTAAGGTTAAGAAGGCTTCCATCTTGATTTCAGAAGGCCTGGGAGGCCAGGCAGTGTGCCTACTTAGCAGGGCAGTGTGTATGGCTGTGATTTCAGTGGAAGCCCAGCAGTTTAGAAAAGCCAGGAATGTGGATTGTCTAAGGAAAACTACAAGGGAGGAGCCAAGTCGGCCTAAGAGAGAAGCCATGGGAGCTAATGCCAACAGAAGTGCCATAGGGACTGAGCCACATGGAGCTCACAGTTTGCCACAGATTGCTTTGGATGTTCCACATGGACCTACAGGACATAAATTATATGCCTTGCTGGATTTTGAATTTGCGTTGGTCCCATGTTTGGTATCCTGCTGTGTGTACCTTTTAGAATGGTATTGTTTATCTTGTGCCATTGAATGTTGGCAGTATTTAATTTTTCACTTGTACAGGGCCTCACAGTCAGAAGTTTGCCATGGATCTTGGAGGAGACTTTGAACTTGGACATTTCACTAATGCTGAAACTGTTAGGACTTTGCCAACTCTTAGAGATGGATGAAAATGCCTTTTGCACAGAGACGTGCATGAGACTTTGGGGGTCCATGGGTGGAATGTTATGGTTTGTGTCTAGTTGTCCTGCTAAAGCCTCATGTAGTCATGGGGCTGACTTCTAGAGTTTGTGGTTAATTCTTAATCCACTGAGATTGTTGGTGTGAGCACTGCTAGGATTATGGGTGTCAGTATTACACCCAGCCTGAGGCATGTATCCTGAGTACAACTTAAGGGAGACAGACTTGCTCACTGTTGCCATTGATACTGCTGCTCCTCTCTTTGCTTTCTGCTCTTTGTTGCCACCATAAATGATTGCTCTCTGCCGTGTACTGCTCTGTCGTGGAGCCAGCTGAGTATGGACTGAAGCCTCCAGCAACTGTGAGCTAAACAAACCTTTCCTTCCTTCATTTTGTGCATTGGGTTTTTGTCCCAGCAACTAGAGAAGAGTAACTGAGGCAATTATGCTGTTTTGATTATAGTTTGATTGAAATATTACTTTATACACAGGTATGTATTTGGGAAGGGAAAAAATACTAGTAGCATTTTCGATAATTTTATTTGTCTGTAATCCTATCGGTTAACTTTTTTGCAAACTGGGTGTTCAGTCTATCTGTCTGTCTGTCACTCTTCTATAATTTTGTAACAGCACACATTGGTCATTTGGAAACATGGACTCTTGAGGTTGTGGGTCTTTCAAATCTTAACATAGTTCACTGTGCATTACCAAAACCACATTCATTCATGTCAACACCAATCATACTAGACAAGATAAGTAGGGGAAAGCTCTCCTATGGCCAATGTTGAATACAAGTTTGTGAAAACAGTTTTTACTTAAAAGTTCCTATTTATTCATTGGCAACTAATACACTCAGGTTTTAGCTGTTTATTTTTTCTTTTTTTTTTCTTCATGAATTGGCATTGTCACCTTTGTGAGAAAACACCTCCCAAATTACCAAATAACTATAGTTCTGCTTAATCTTTTAAAAGTAAAAATGTTCTTTACAGATAGTCTCTAGGCAGTCACTGGACAATGGCAGCAGTGTATTTTCTTGAGACATCCATAGTGATACAGGGAGAAAAACTGATCTTGGGTAGGTGACCTCCAAATGATACAGGAACTTCCAAATGACAGGGAAAAATGATCTCTGGACCTGACCTGCATGAGTTCGTGTTCTCTAAAAACCGAAGAATGAATTTTAGGAATTCTTATGAGCAGAATATATTTATTGAGGGAAAGAAAGCTCCTGTCCGAGAGAGGGACAGGAGGGAGGCCCAAGTGGGCTGTCCCTGGGAAGCTGCCTCTTCAGGGACTTTTAGAGAGTAAAACCGTGTGGTGAGGCGGGTCTAAGGTGGTAGAGAATGTGCGAATGTGCTTAGTTAGATGTGGAGCGGGACAAAACTATGATCACCCAATGGAATTGCAAACACCATTGCTCAGGTAAAATTGATTTAGTCCAGAACCAAATGGGGAAGCAAGTCATGTAGCAAGCAGGCATGAATGTAGAACTGGACTTTATCAGGTAGCCATCCAATAGTAGTTGGATTAATGATTCTTCTGGCTCCCTCAAGGTGATGATCAATCTTAGATGCCAATCTTTTGAGAGGTCGGCATTTGTTTGATCTTTGGTCTTTAGGTCTGGCCCATGGCGGGAGTATCCATCCCTCCCAGAGTTGCAAGATATCTTGTCTTCTGTGGTATCTCCTTTGAGAGCCTGGCCCTGTCTGACTGCCTATAATATTTCTGTCTTACTCAGCTGCCTGGAACAATAGTGCACATTTTTTTCATATGAATTTTCCATTTTATATAAATATTTATTAATATTAATTATAAACTTAAATATTAAATAAGTGAGATATTTCCAGGCATAGTATTTTAATCTTCATAAAGAGTATATTCTTAAAATGTGACCTTTTTTAAATCCAGGAGTATACAAGTATATGGAGACATTTTAGAAATATAATAAATGACTACTAGCACTGTTTGGTTCTCTTAATAGCCAACCCCAGCACTTTTATCATCTGTGCAAGTGTAATCACACTAAAAGAGTAAATCGAATCTTGAGACCACATTTTATTTTATCTTATTTTTATTTATTTATTTATTTATTTGACCAAACTGAGGATTGAACTCTGGCCTTTGCGCTTGCCAGCCAGGAAAGCGCTTATTCTACTGAGCCATCTCCCCGGCCCCAAGACCACATTTTAAAAACTATTTTAAGAGATTCCTAAACAAAATTCAAAAAGAATCATATGTACAAAATTAGCCTTCTTGAGCATTTTAATTTTTTTAGTGTCTGTTTTTTTGAGATAGGGTCTCACAGTGTAGTTCAGGCTCACCTCAAATCCTCAGGACCATACACCATTGTGCTCAGCTGTGAAGGAAACTCAGTGTCTTAAAACATTAAATAAAAAAAGTAAAAAGATAGGAAGTTTTACTGATGCCAAAGAAAAACAGTGTATGAGAGTGAGGAAGTTTGGCAGCCCTGTAGTCCACTGTCTTGTTAGAAAAGCCCACCTAACAGTGGCTCAGTTAGATGAGGAAACTAGAGTGAATGAGGAGTGGGCCTAATAAAGGAAGAGTTTCCAAAATTCAGGAAAGCCATATATATATATTTTAAATTTATTTATTTGATACAGGATCTCATTACACAGTTCTGACTAGTAGTGATCCTCCTGTTTCAGCCTGCCCAGCACTGGCTTATAGGCATGTACCACCACACCCAGTTTTGGGGCAGCACAGCTTGCCTGGGGTTCCAGTGCTGGCATGGCAGGCAATACCAAGGATCGAACTCAAATCCTTGTGCTTGCCAGATAGGGGCTTAGGCTGCCAAGCTATCTCCCCACCCAAGGAAGGCTATATTTTAACAATATAGTTAAAATAATATTTCTAGGGAAAAGGTAGAAATATGGGTCAATGGTAAATTATGTAATTTGGTATAGATACAGGATGCAGGAGATCATAGGTCACGTGGATTTGTGGAAAAACAAACAAAGCAGGAGAAAGTAGTGTCTCATTTTTTTTGCAAAGTTGCTTTTGTTTTGTTTTATGATTTCTTTGATGATCAGTTCAAGGTCATGCAAGCCGCACACCTTGGTAGCAGAACTCAAGGAGATACTCAACTTGAGGGCACATGTGAGCATAGGACATCTTGAAAATAAATGTCTCCTTGTATTTGGCATGTAGACACTTAGGAAACTCAGAGTTCTTCACTTTTTGATCTTGTAAATACTGAGAGAGTGAACCTTGCCTTGAATATGTTTGTACCTTTTTCCTTCCCTATTCCAGTGTTCCTCAGGGGCTATTAGACTTATGCTTTCTACTGCACATTGTGTGTATTTTCCTAAATGACTTATGGAAAGACAAGGTGCTCTGCCATTGTTTGTAACAGTTTTCCAGCCTATTGCTTAAGATTGTCAGAAGAGAAAACCCCTTAGATGGGAATAGTAACATCTTTGCTGTCTTTTTCTTTAAGCAAGTGAGTGCCAAAGCTTTGTTGGATTTGAGGAGTCCAGGATACACTGACCTGCTCTGTTCACGTGAACTGTACTTGTATCTCTGGTGCTTCACTGCAGACCCTGAGGTTACCAAGTGCGCCTGCTCCAGAACCCAGAGGAAGCCTGCTGTTTCTTTCTGTTTGGGGTACAGGAAGACACTCCAGACCTGGCACAGACAGTCCACTCTTCAACTGTTGACTCCAGCCGGGATGTCTGAAAGGCCACAGATCCAGATAGAGGACAGCATGACAGAGCATGCCTATTGTGCAACACACCAGGAGCCACACGAGCTGTTCTGTGACGATGACCACATCCCACTGTGCAGCGAGTGCGCCCTGTCCCGGCAGCACGAGCATCACACAGTGCTCTGTGTGCTGGTGGCTGCTGAGAAGTACAGGGTGAGTGCTGCACAGTGGCAGCGTGCTGAGGCCAGCTCCTTTCCGATGGGTTGGGCAGATATTCTGACTCCAAAACTGTCCCCTTCATGCTTGCTGAGAAATGTCATAGTTAGTCAAAACTTTAGAGCTAAGAAAACATATAGTTTCATTCTAACCCTCTACTTAAGTTTAAAAATAAGAATCCATTATTCTAATTTATTTGGAATTCCATCATATATTTCTTTATAGAATTTATTCCAAGAAATATTGAAACCATTAAGGGAGAAAGTTGAAGTTGCTAAAAGTATATTGGCCGATGGGCAAGAAAGAATGATGATGATTCAGGTCAGTGCTGATCTTCATTTTTGGGGGAAAGTATCAATAACGTTAAATAAGAAATAATGTCTGGTAAACAAAGTTAAAAAGCAAAACCATATGCAATGTATTAATTATTGAAGTTGACCTACTGATCAGTTTCAAAACTGTCTCATTGCTATTTGTTTCTCAATAAAATTAATTTTAAAAAAAGAGCAAAACCAGAAAACAATATCTGAAAGCCATGGGATATAAGAAGCTAATATGCTAAAAAGCCCTTAAAAATCTCCTAGAATACTGGGCTTGGTGACACATGCCTATAGTCCCAGTTTCTGGGAGGCTGAAACAAGAGGATTACTAGGAATTTGAGGTCAGCCTTGGCTACATAGTGAAGTCAAAGCCAGCCTAAACTGCATAACAAGAACCTGCCTAAAAAAAAAAGAAAAAAAGGTTGATTAGGAATAAACTGGAAATTCATTAGAAAAATGATCAAAGACTTAAATTTCGAGAAAAGAAAATACAAATCCCCCCTTTTCTCTGTTTTGTTTTTCTTCTGTGTTTTCTCTTTCTCGTTTTTTGTTTTTTGTTTTTATTTTTGTTTTGTTTTTTGTATTTTAGGACAGGGTCTACAGGGTATTCAGGGTCTCACTGCATAGATCGGACTCATAGTGACCTTACAGCTTCCCAGGTGCTGGGATTACATGTTGGCATCACCATGCCCAGTCTCAATGGCCATCTCAGTGTGCCCTGGGGGCGAGGCTGACACTGCAGGCCTGGGGATTGAACTCCCGGCCCCTCCATCTGCCTAAACAGGCGCTTTAATCTGCTGAGCTATTTGGCCAGCCCTGTTTCGTTTATTTTTGTAGGTATGCTTTGAACATACAAAGATATTTTTGATTTTGTTCATAGTAAGACCAAGTGGAAATTGTACTAAATAGTGATATGGCATTTGCAGGTCTTCTGGGCAAAGATTAAAAAGATTCAATACCATTGTTTATAAGAGTAACAGAGGAAAATGAGCACTTCAGATATTTTTGGTGGTTGTATAAATTGTGAAACCCTAGCAGGCAGTTTAAGAACTGCTATCCAAGCTGGGCGTGGTGGTGCATTTGTGTAATCACAGCACTTAGGAAGCTGAGGCAGGAGGCTCATTACATGTTTGAGACTATCCTGGGCTACAAAGTGAACTCAAGGCCAGCCTAAGCTAGTCTCTTTTTGAACTCAAAAAGACAAAAAAAACCCACTGCTGTTCAAATTGAAGGCTCCCCATCTGTTTTGTTCTTGTCATTTCTAATTAACCCCACTCTGTCCCAGGAATTCCATGTTCTATGTCTTTTTTCTCAACTTTTAGAGAATACACGTGTTCATTCAGAGGCAGTAAAGGAGAACGGTTACCTAGATGTATAACAGTTTCTCAGTTGATCCCCAGTTTTTCAACCCCAAACACAAATATTGATGCCCTCTTCTTTACCAGGGAACATGCAGGGTTCTGGGTATTTTGGCGTTGAAAAACAATTTGTCTTCTTGAAACTGACATGTGGACATACTATAAGCTACCTGTGTAACATTTTACATGTAATTACTAAAAGGAGGTAAAGAATTATATCATATAGGAGTTTTCTAGGCAGAGGGAATCAAAAATACAAAGTCATACATACTGCTGAGGCTGGGCATGGTGGAGGCTGTAGGTGATAAGGTGGGAGGTAAAAGCCCTAGTAACATTAGACAGTTAATTTTAAATAAAATAAGGAAGTCACTAGAAGGTATTGAACAAAAGAATAATAGAATGTAACTGGTACAGAAAAAATACTCTCACTGCCAGAGTGAGAAGGTTTTAAGAGGCTAAAAGCAAATTAGAAAGAAACTTGTGGTACTTGGGACCAGGTTGTGGTAAACTGGCAGTGTAGAAGGTTAGCAGTGGTTGGATTCTTAAAATTGTATTCCTTTGAGTGTCGTAGGTTGAATCAAATGTCTCCAATGGCTGCTTGCAAATTTATATCTCACCTATATTTTCAAATGGAAACCTTTCAATCCATTTCCCACTTGGCTGTCTTCTTGAATGTCTAACTGACCAATCAAATTTATCATGTCCAAAACTGAGTTACTGATATCTTGTCTCTCTCTGGAGCCTAGACGTCCCATCGTTTCTGTTCCTATATTTTGGTAACTCCATTCTTCCTGGGCACTTAGTCTAAAAGCTGTGGTGTCTCCCATCCTGAATCCATTTTTCTTATCCTACCATCTAAGGTGTCAGCAGATTTCATGAGCATCGCTTTATAATTTCAAGTCTGTGCTGCTGTCTTGGCAAATCCTAAGATTTTCCTTGTCTTTTGGGTTTATGCTTTTTATTCTTTCTTCTGTACTTTTATTCCTTTGTCTTACATTGTGGTTAGAGATGGAAGTAGGATTTGTAATTGTGGTCTGTCTTTTGTATTTAATCTAAAATTGACTATGTTTCTATTTGAGAAAGGAAGAAGAGCAGAATTTTAAAGAGGTAATTGAGTCTGAATTTAGGATGAGGTTCCGGCTGTTGAGAGAAGAGAATGAGATGAACCTTCTGAGACTCCAAGGATGTAAATTTGACTTAAACTTGAGAAAAACTAATCAAGATCAACTGATGAGATTTGCCACAGAGCTAGAGGAAGAGTCCCAGGAAATTCTACAGGTGAGATATTGAACACAACGTCTCTATAGCATTTGGAAATTAGAGGAAGAAGAGGTGAACATTATGTCAAATCCAGAATATGACATCAGGTAACAACTACAGATTTATGAAATGTGTGTGTGTGCTCACTTAACAGTTGTTTCTATGAACTTACACCCCCACACATGTGGACGCATGGATGATGTAGAATACACCTGTAAGTTTATTTGTATGCTTACATTACTGCATTAGACTGCAGATACCCTTACATCCCTATGACAGTTCACACGGGCAGGAAAGCATGGTAAAACTGAGTTTCCGTGTAGCGCCAAGGTGTACAGCTAACATCTGAACCCAGGTAGATGGGGTTCTTACCTGAATGCTGAGTGGCTGTGGACCTGTTACTTAATCTCTTACATAGTTTCTTTAGTTGTCCTTAGTTTTCATGATCTAATCTACAGAAAACTCCCTAAATACTGTCTTGTACATTTTAAGCAATCACTTAGCAGACATTATGATTGTTGTTGTAACATCTGTTGATAGTAAAAGATTAAATACAACCTATGTCTGTCACTGAGTATCTTTGAAAGAATAAGAACTTAGGTGGGTGTGGTGGCACACAACTGTAATCCTGGCCCTCTGGGACACAGACAGGGGGGAGATGGCAAGCCAAAGCACAGCCTGGGTAACTGAGTGGCTACGTGAGCTCTGGCATCAAAAATAACAGAAAAAGGGGGTGGATGGAGGTGGATCTCAGTGCAGAAGTCCTAGGGGCAATCTTTAGTACTGCAAAACCAAACAAAACAAAGCCAACCAAAAAAGGCAACTAGTATCAGTGGCTTAATTATTTTTCTTATTTACTGACTTAATTTAGTCTTAATTATAGTAATATTAATTGATTTTATTTTTAATGAAGGGAATAGTAAACTCTCTAACCATAGTACCTGGCAGAAAGTGTGTGACAAAGTTTAAGGGCACATTATTAATCAGAGGAAACAGACTACAGGAACGTACCTTAAATTAAACATCTCAGGTATCAAAGAGTGACCTTTTGAAAGGTGTCTCACTTGACACTGAAGAACATCCTGACCTTACCCAATTAGGTCTGACTTTGGGGTTGCAAACAGGAAACCTGGAGTTTTGTTGGTTTGGTTTTGGCTTTTCGATACAAGATCTTGTTGTATTGCATGGGCTGACCTTGAATTTGTGGCAGTCCTGATGCCTCAGCCTCCCCAGCGCTGGGATTATAGGCATGTTCCACCACACCCAGCAGGAGGCAGGCTTTAGAGACATGGTTGATTACCAAAGAAAGGTGCTGGTAGTCCAGTAGTAACAGAGATTCTTCTGTAGAGACTGGACTCCTTGGGGCGAGAGAACATGAGAAACCTGAAGGAGAGTGAAGCCAAGGTTTCAGAACAGCTCTGCAGCCTGCAAGAGCTCACGACAGAGCTGGAGGAGAAGTGTGGGCATCCTGCCACAGCCTTGCTCCAGGTAAGACTGTGCATACGTCCTCCTTACAGGGAAGAAACAAGAAGTGGAAAGTTCGAGTTACTGAGAGAGTCCAATTCCCTCCACTGTTGGTTCTCAGCACTCATCACACTGTTGACAGTGATGTAAAGGAGGGCAGCCATTATGAAAGCAGAATAGTTTCCGCAAAAAGGTAAAAACACAACTATCCTAAGAACCAGAATCCTACTGTGGTATATTTAGAGGAAATTATGATCGGTATGTCAAAGTGACACCTTCACCTCCATGTTTATTGCAGCACCATTCATAATGGCCATGAGGTAAAACAACCTAAGTGTCCATCTGTTGGTGAGAGGATAAACAAAATGTGTTTCATATTCTTTTTTAAGTTGGCCAATTTTTTATTCTCTTGTTATCTGAAAGAAACTTCCACTGTCTTAAGAAAAATTACTCAGCTTTTCTGAACTTTTCTTTTGTGTGATTTTATTTTAGAGATAAAGGATAAACGTAACAATGAAACCCAGTTTCAAAACAGGTAGATAAGACAGTTACAACAGTTACAACAGTTGGTACATGGTGAATTGTGTTATTAGTAGTTATTCAGAGTAGATATAGGCATGCTCTCTTATCTATACAATATTAGTGCAGAAATTTCTTTTTAATGAACTAAGAGAAACTAGCTACATAACTCTCTTGTGTATACATACCTTTTTTCCTTTTCCGTTCTTTCTTTTCCTCTTTTCCTGTCAATTTGTCCTTTCCTTTAAGCAGTTTCATCCAAATTCACCATATCTATTGTACACTTCTGGTCTTATTTACTTTTCCATTTTCTCACGTTAGTGAGGCAATATGAGGTCCATACATGTAGGCATGATTTATTTCACTTGTGAGCATGGTCTTGAGTTACATCCACTTACCTATAAAGACTTTTTTTCTTACTTTATTTTTTTCATTTATATATTTGGTACAGGGACTCACTACGCAGATCAGACTCATGGTGGTCCTGTTTTCAGCCTCCCCAGTGCTGGGATCACAGGCATGAGTCATCACGCCTAGACTCTGTCATGGGCTCAGCGTGCCCTGGGGTGGGGCCCACACTGGCGTGGCAGGCAGGCACTTAGTCCACTGAACTATCTCACTGACCCTAAAGACTTCATTTTATCCTTCTTTTGACTGAGCAGTAGGTTTCATATTCTTGAGGGGATACAATTTGGTTATGAAAAATGAAATATCATTTCAACAATTATTATGTTAAGTGACCTAAGTGAGGGACAGGAGCCACACATCTCACTCCTATATGCATGTGTAGAAGTGATTGCCAAAGGCTGGTGAAAATAAGGGGGAAAAAGGAATGAGGGGTGTGAACACTGGGCACTAAGTTCTTGATAGACAAGACCCAGAATTTCCGGTGTTCGGTGGCCTGGCGTGGTGAGTGTAGATGGCATAATATGCTATGCACTGCATTTCAGAAAGGTACAAGAAAGGATTTTTGAATGTTCCTACCATAAAGAAGTTAATTTTTAAAATTTTTATTTTGAGAGAGGGCCAAACTTGAATTTGTGATTCTCTTCTTTATCTTCCCAAGCAGCTGGAATTGTAGGCCTTTGCCATCATATCCAGCCAAGAAGAGATAAATTTTTAAGGAAATATGTACATTTATTCTAATTTAAATAGTACACATTCCTTATGTGTATTAAAATATCTTGATACCTTATATAAAATGTTTCTGTCTAACATGCCTGTTAAAAATTCTTAAATATAAAATATTATGAATCATAAAATCATGATATGCTGGTTAGCTGCTTCATGATGAAATCTGTCACCTTAACATTATCAAGCAAGAGTAATTTGAATTGAGATACACTTCCATAGGATGAATAATTTGTTAAAGTGTGATGCATCCGTACAGTAGGATTTCTACAGCCACAAGAAGGACCACAACAGCTCACAGCCACTAAATTAGTATCCTTAAGATATCATTAAGTGAAAAAAGTTCAGAACTACTTTTTGTTTGGAGAATAGGTATACGTGTATATGTATATTTAGTACTTGTTAACGTTCACAGACCTTGGGTAAATAAAAAGCACATACCTGGTCATCAGGGGCATCCTTGGGAAACAAGAATGAGATGAGTGAGACTAGTTTGTGTAGTGCTTGCTGTGGTTGGAGTGATGTATGTGTATATACTTATAGAGGGACCTGGGTGGTGCTCTTGGGAATGGAATCAGTGCACCTATAAACAGGCCTCAGAGAGACTCCTTGCCTCTTTCACCACATAAGTTTTGAGTGGGATGAAAGCTATTGCTTGGGAGCCCTCCAGCTTCCAGTTCTGCCAGTGTCTTAATTTAGAAATTCCCAGTGTGTAAACTGAAAGAAATACATCTTCATGATATATAAGCTATACAGTCTGAGATTTTGTTACACCTACTAAGTAGTATATAATTAAAAGTCTTTTCATTAATATACATTCTGTTTTTCAAAAAATAAAATACTAATTTTAAAAACTACTTGTATTCCTCTTCCAGGTCCACATGTGCTGTAAGAGTATACTCACCTTAACAGTCTTTGTTGATATGTGTGTATGCTTGTATACTTGCATGTGTGAATAAATTTAAACATTTTAGAATTTTAATTAATTAAAAATAAAAGTTTTGGAGCTGAGTATGGTGGCACATACCTATAATCCCAGAATTCAGGAGGCTGAGGCAGGAGAATTATTAGGAGTTAAAGACCAGCCTGGATTACAAAATGAGCTCAAGGCCAGCCTGAAGTGCATAGTGATACCCTGTCTCAAAAAGAAGGAAAGGGGGGAAAAAGTTTGAAACCGCAAATTAAAAAAAATAAAATTGTATTTTTTTTCTTGCTACCTGTTTGTGGCACAGTATGGTTATGTGCCTGCTGGGCAGGCGGTGCATGGACTCGGCGCGACCTACCTCCCTCTCCGGCCACTTCCTCCTTTTCTCTCTACCTCCTGATCCCCTTTTTCAAAAATAGTCTCACCACATTTTCCACTGTCTTTTTTTTTTTTTTTTTCCTTTTTTACTGTGTGTGATTAGGTGTTGCTTTTTTCTTCTTGAAGAAAAAAATTCAAAGCAAAGATAATAGGAGGGAAACAATGATTGATATATTACATATTGTAATTTTTAAATTATTCAACATATAAGATATAGGCATTTAATTGTACAAGATACAAACTTTCTTATTTTGCTTTCTGATATTAAAAACCATGAAATATTTAAGCTTTCATGTGTGATTTATTTAACTGAACCTTATGGTCTTAAAATGTATCTAAGTGATTCAAATTTATCATTCTTTATTGTACAGTAGAGCTCTAGTGTTAATTAAAATTAATTAACAATTTTAGTTTGTTAAGTAATCGCTATAACACATTCCATATTTGTTACAAGCTTATTCCCATCAACAATGTAGATGTGCACTTCTTTTCTCCACAACTACACTGGTATTTTTATTTATTTATTTATTTATTTATTTATTTATTTATTCTTGGTGGTACCAGGGATCAAACTGATGACCTTGCGCTTACCAGGCAAGCACTTTTCCACTGATCTATCTCCCCTGCCCAATATTATTTTTTGATTTGTTGATGATAGCAATTCTTTCTAGAGTAAGGTGAAGTCTCAGTTTTGTTTTAATTTCTTATTATCGAAAGCTAGAGATACGAAACATTTTTATGTATTGGTCATTTTGGTCATTTGTACTTCTGAGATGTTTTTATTCATTTCAACTACCCATTTTTTATTTGATCTTTTATTTTGCCAGGTCTGATTTGTTGTTGTTGTTTTTTCTTAGTTATTTATATGTTCTAGATATAGAATAGTTGACAAAACTTTTCCCCATTCTATAGATTATCTCTTCCCCATTAGTTGTTTTCTTTGCTGTGCAGAAATTTTAAATTTGATATCATCCTCTTTGTTGATTCTTGGCACTATTTCTTGTACAACTGAGGCTCTATTCAGAAAACCCTGGTCCACCCCTATGTCATTAAGGGGTGCTTTATCTCCCAGCACATTAACTGTATCTGTTGTAATATTTAGATCTTTGATCCATTTTTATTTTAGTTTAGTACATGGTGAGAGATACTGGGTTAGATACACTTTTCTTCATGCATGTAGCTAATTTTCATAGCACCATTTGTTAAAGAGGTCACCTTTTCTCCAACATAAATTTTTGGCCCTTCTGTTAAAGACCAGATGGCGAAAGACCTGGGCCGCATCAGTCTCCTCCATTCTGTTCCATTGAGCCATTCCTGGTGTTAAGCCAGTACCGTGCCAGTTTATCTCTACTTGTGCAATATAAATCAAAATCAGGACTGCGGTGCCTCCTGCTTTGCTCTTGTTACCGAGCATTGCTTGTGCTCTTCTGGGTTTCTGGTTCCATATGAATTTTAGGGTTGCTTTCTATTGCTGGTTCCCTGAGGAATGCTGCTGGTAGTTCCACTGGGGTTGCATTAAAGCTGCATTATCTTTTCATTTAGCAATTCTGAAACAATTCAATTATACTATCTCACATATTATACTAATAACAGTTATTATGTTGTGATACCCAAACTTATAAAAATAATTGAATCCATAAAAAATTATTTTGAAGTCATTTGATCACTAATGTTTTAAAAAGCACATCTATTTATTTATAGATATTGGGAGATATCAAATTGCTGTGCTGTTTTGACTTTGTTGAGTATATAATTTTACATTCCATTTCATGTAAATAAAATAATAAACTTAAAAAAAAAAAAAAAAGCTACATTATCCGTTTTGGAAGTGTGGCCATTTGGACGAGATTGGTTCTTCCCGTCCAGGAACAAGGATATCTTTCCCTTTGCTGATGTCTTCAGTCTTTCTCAGAGTACTACAGTTTTGTTGTGGAGGTCTTTTAGTTCCATCATGGGGTTAACTTCTCATATTTAATTTCCCTTTATGCTGTTGTCAATGATGCTGTTTTCTTAATTTAATTCTAAATGAATTTGTCACTGGTGTACAAGGACCTCATTTTTGTCTGTTGGT